TACACAAAAGAATGTCTCACATAAAATAAAATTTAAAAAGAGGGGAACGCTAAATTGGAAAAAGAAAAAACACCCGACTGTACTCTAAATGAATCAGCACATTGACACCAACAATAACACAATGAACCCAAGTAGCTTTTCTCCAGTTTTATTGAGCTATGATTCACATACCATAAAATTTACCTGCAGTGTACAATTCAGTGGTTTTTAGTATATTCAGAGTTTTACAACCATCACCAAAATCTATTTTAACACATTTTTCATCACCTGCCCTTAAAAGACTCCATACCCACTAGTAGTCACTTCCTATTTCTCCCCACTGCCTTGCAGCCCAAGGCAAACACTAATCTACTGGGTTAGCCAAAAAGTCCATATTTTTTCCTGTAAAATAAAAGACACATGTGTCTTTTTCACCAATAACTTTATTGGTTTGGATATTTTGAGTAAGTTGGCTATCTCCCATATGGTATAATGTTGATTGTTCTCAATTAATGTCTCAATTTGATTGCTACCAACTTCAGCTGGTCCACCCATTCATGGAGCATCATTCAGAGAGAAATCTCCAGCATGAAACTTTGCCAACCACTTTTGCCATGTTCAGTCAGTCACAGCACTTTCTCCATAACCGCACTATTTTTGTGTGTGTCTTTCAGTTGCATTTTTACCTTTCTTGAAATAATAAAACATAATATGCTAAACATTGCACAAAAATTCACCAATTTTGGTAAGTTTTTTTAATGCACACTGTTATGACAGCTATCACAACACAATCTAACAAAATTGTTTCGAATGACGTTAAACATAAATAAACGATACTGGAACCATCTTATGGAAAAACCATACGAACTTTTTGGCCAAGCCAATACTTTCTGTGTCTATAGATTTGCTTATTCTGGACATTTCATATCAATGGAACACACAATTCCTGTTCTTTTGTGACAGCTTCTTTCACTTAGCATGTTTTCCAACACTCATCTATGGTGCGGCATGTATCAGTGCTTCATCTCTTTTTCGGCCAAACAATATTCCATCGTATGGATCCATCACAATTATATCTCCGTTTACACACGATGAACATTTGAGTTGTTTCCACTTATTGGCAATTGTGAATAATGATGCTACAATATTTGTGTATAAGTCTTTCTGCAGACATATGTTTTCATTCCAACTGATTTTTGAAGACAGTATTTTGATTGTATTTCCACTGACAAAAAGGGGTATAAAACTATTTAATAGGTTTGTTTTTCACAGAAGTACAGGTTAGAAATTCTGTTTTTTTGTGTATTCTACAATTGAGCAAACACAGTCATGTGTCTCTTCACGATGGGGATACTTTCTGAGAAATGCATCATTAGGCAATTTTGTCATCGTGATAACATCACGAGCTCACTCCCACAAACCTAGATGGTACAGCCCATCACTCCTAGACTACAAGCCTGTACAGCATGTTACTGTACAAAACAACATGAGATCAAATCAAGCACAAGAGAAAATTATGCAATCAAAAGACACGGTGCACACGAGATGTATGAGGCTGTCCCCTGCGTAGCGCAGCATACTGTTTTATGGGAAACTTTTTTGTGTGAGTAGAGAGACTACACTCTAAAAAAATGTTAAAATGTATAGTACAGTAAACACATAAACCAGTAACATAGTTATCATTATCAAGCATTATGTATTACACATAATTGTATGAGCTACACTTTTTCATATGACTGACAACACAGGTTTTTTTTAAACCAGCATCACCACAAACATGTGAGTAATGCATTGCACTATGACCTAGGATGGTTATGATGTCACCAGGTAATAGGAATTTTTCAGTTCCATTTTAATCTTGTGGGACCACTGTTATACGTGTGATCTATCATTGACCAAAATGTCACTCTGCAAATCATGATTGTAAATAAATACACTAAGGATAGTGAGAGTCAGGTCTCTCACCATCAGAAAAGGAATTACAAATATGATAAGGAGAAGATCAGAAAGAACCCTGTGGAGTTGGAATGAAATTGGAGATACTACTATGAACTCATGGTTTAAATATAGATAGTTATTTAGGAATAGAAGTAGATACAGACACAGATATAAATTCTAACTCTGTCTGCTGAGAAGGCCTGCAAATAATGATACTCCAGTAACAATGAGCACCTCTGGTGCCCAGAATTTGGTTTCTAAATACCATTCTACACTAAAATTAATCAGGACTCCTTGAAGAAATAGCTGGTTTCAGGGTTGGGAGAGGAAAAGTACAAGTTCAGTTTGCAACAATGTGTTATGTCAGGACATAAAGTGTTTGGCCCTGGCTGGTGTGGCTCAGTGGATTGAGCACCAGCCTGTGAACCAAAGGGTCTCTGGTTCGATTCCAAGTCAGGGCCTATCCTTGGGTTGCAGGCCAGGTCCCCAGTTGGGGGCGTGGGGGTGTGGGAGAGGAAACTGATTGATGTTTCTCTCCCTCTCTCCTTCCCTTCCCCTTCTCTCTAAATCATTAAAAAAAGTGTCTGAAGAATGGTGGCATCATATCAATAACAGCCAGCTTGGCCAGCTTGAAGGGCTTGAAGGGACTCACACTAGCCAAATCTGGGGCAATTTGACCATCAGAATAAATAATTATAGTAATGGATAAGTTACTGAATGAAATAGAAACTCATAAATCCAAACTGATGTATATAAATATGATTCCTTACAGTAGAATATCAATGGAATATATAAAAGAAATTAAGGCTTTAGACAATTACCATTTGGCAAACATAACATTAATTGACTCAGGCAAGGGAGCATCATAAAAAGTCTGACAAACAACAGGATATTTTTATAACATTAAAGTATTTCCTGACAAAATACTTACTAACGGTAAAGGGGGAAATAGTAACTTTACTAAAAATTTGCACACATTACCTCCGTACAAGTGGCGGAAGCAGCGGCGCAGTAGACAGGGCCCACCCACAGCCACTCGGAAGAGGCGTGCCTCTCCCCAGTTCTGTGTTCGGTGACTACAAGACCCGATGGGCGCGTCTGCAGCGTGGAAATCAGCAAGTACTACAAATCGTGGCTTTTTACCCCTGGAAAGCCAACTGTTAAGTCAATTATCAGGGTAATACTAGAGCAAAGTTACTACCTCCAACCAGCTGACCTCACATGCTTCGTGATACTGCACACCAAGGTCGACCATCACTTCTGTGGCTATTCTGTCAGAACTGAAAACTTCATTCTAATGATAGGAGAGCATCAGGAATAACCTACATTGAGAGACACTATAAAATAGCTGGACGGAAGGAAGAAATCACATTGAGAGAAAAATTATAAAGCAAATGTAACTAAATGTTAACAAAGGACAATGTGGGTACCGGACATGCAGTTACTTCTTTGTACTGTTCTGGAAACTTTTCTGTAAGTCTGAAATCATTTAAATATTAAAAGTTTATAAGAAAAAAACCCGCGAACGCTCCCTGGTTTTCTGCCTTACCCTGCGGTCTTCGCAGCTGCAGTTGGGAGGAGGCAGTGAACCAGGACTTCCAGGCTCAAGGTGCCCAGAGGTGCGTGGTCACAACGGGAGCGAAGCAGCGCCCCCCAGCCGCAGGCCAGGGAGCCGCACTAGCCGGGCTGCCCGCGAAGGCGCAGGCGCAGGCTGCACCCTGCCGCCCCGCCCACCCGGCCTCGGATTGGCCGCGGGCGCAAGGGCGTCACGTCCTCCTCGAGGGGCGCGCGTGCAGCTCGAGGCTCTGCGCGGGCTGCAGGTGTGAGGGCCCTGCTGCCCAAGGACTCGGGAGGAGCTCGCGGTGCGTCCACCAGCACTGCCCCTCCGGCAAGCACATATTCCTGAAAGACACAAGTCTCAGCCCTCAGACAGCTAACGCCACGCATACCCGCAAACCCCATGTTGCAGCCCCACGCCCAGTTACCTCTTGGTTTTGAGCCCTGGAGCTGGGTAATAGCAGTCACAGTCACAAAGGGAAGTGGAGAGCTCCCTTGTGAAGGCAGAATTAAGTAATCACATCTTCTTCAAAAACTTTAATGTTTTCTTAATGTCTTCAAAAGCCTAATGTTTGTGGTGCAGGTGCTGCTGTTTCCCAGTGAGGGCTGTGACAACCTTGGCCAATGCCAGCCGGCCACTCCCCCTGGGGAGGAGGTGTTTACGGCCTTTCCCATTATCTATCAATTAGCTGGAAATGTGAGCGAAATGTGTCCCAGCCTCAGCAAAGCCTGTTCCGATTTACTACTCTCTGCTCAAGGAACACCAGGAGGCAGACAGTAGGTGGTCGGGGACGCCCAAGGTATTGTGCTTCTGCCATTTATAGGTTATATTTTCTGATGTAAGATGATTCGTAGGATGAAGGCATAGTATTTGAATTTTGAGGTGAAAATAGTAAGTTGCACGGGTAACAAACTGAAGTGCTGTTAAACCACGTTGATGGCGATTATGGTTGCTTTTCCAAGTTTCTTCACTCATCCCAAGTAGGAAGGTTATTTCCATTGTCTAGCATAGCACCTAGCACATGGTAGGTGTTTGATAAATATTAATGACTTTATAATGCCCTGCACATTCTGCAGAATTGGAGTGCTCAGTCCCCCATCACCTGTACATCTGAATATATTTTTGCCTGCGTTGGCACTGCCATCATTCCTTAAAACAATATTTTGTAAAACAAAACTCTGTGTTCTTACTGTTTCTGGAAAAAATTCTGAAGTTCCCAATGATCTCAAATGCTGAGCAAAGAGACTAAAAAACATGATTATGATCTGTCTCACTCTGTATTCATGGAATCTGATTATGTTTACCTCTCTTTATATATTTTTCTTCCCCCCTCCCAAACAAAATGAAAGGATCTGATAGTGAAAAGGGCAGAGGAAAGACAACTGTTTGTTTCAGTTGAGCAGACAGGCATACCAAGCAAATGCAGGCAAAACACATAATCAAAAATATATCGGGGGAGGGCGAATGGATTCCTTTTAATGATTCACAGCAACCACATTTATCTTCTACTGTTACTAAAGAGAAAAATGTCTTCGGATAACCAGTGGTCAGCAGATGAGGATGAAGGCCAGTTATCTCGACTGATCAGGAAGTCGAGAGATTCCCCTTTTGTGCCTGTAGGTAAGTACAAGCCTTGACTGAGTACCGGAAAACTGTTTGTAATAGTCCACTAATGCTTTACCCAGTATCTTTGAGGATTGAAATGTTGTATATAATGGAATTTTTTTCAGATAATTGAAGCCAATGCCCCGGAGCATGAGTTAAACTTTCAAAACAGTTTCTAGTATGTGACAAATCCCCAATAACTGTTAGCTATTAATATGGAGCATCTGATTTTATTCTGTTTAATCCATCGTCATTAGAGGTCTGGCTAAAACTATTAGTTCCCAGCCAATGTAAAAGGAATTGATTGGATGGATTTTAACTTTCTGGGATGACTCAGGATCATCAGCAGCAGACTGAGATCTCTGAGGGACTATGGAGAGGGTTATGTCTCTTTGACCTTTAAAAAACTCCAGCCTTTAAGTTTTGTGTCTGGTATTTACAGATTTTTCTGTTTCTTCCATATTGCTGGATATCATTAAAAACTTCTGCTTCTGGTGTTTTCTGGCACTAGAAGCTAGAAGTCCATGCTTAAAAGAACGGAGTCAAATCAGAGTAAACAAGCTCTAACTAAGAGCCTGGGCCTCCCTGTACACTGGAGAACTTGAACTTTGTGAGGTTCGTGCTCAGTGCCCGTCTTTCCTGGCTTCCTGGCCAGGCGTGGAGGTTGATAGTTAAGTAATCTCTAGATTGAAGAAGCGGTATTATAATCATACCTGGAGTCTGGACCTCTTTGTCCTTTCCCAACACACATTTACTATGTTCATATTCTCAGCAAATACTAGACATATGTGGGCTTTTTTAAAAAAACCTGCAAAATCTAAGCATCAATATCATTTTTACAATCTAAGCTTCCTCTTTCTTTTCTTTTGGATGGCTCAGCTGCCCTAAGCATGGTTATTGTATACTGCAGCTGTGACTCTTTCCTTATGTTAATTTTGTCTGGAAACTGTTAAAATAACCTATTTACATCAGACTTACATAACTCCATGTAATTAATTCCATGAAGTCTTCTAAATAGGTATAAGTCATATGTTTCCATTAAGTGTCCCAGCAAATCTAGCAACTCCGTGTCATTCACATGTAAACAAGAATCAAAACGCTACTGTATAGTAATATTCTGTGCTTAGAGGTTTCATTTAAATTGACTAAGACTTGTAATAGCACTCACAACAAATTAAAGCAAATTATTTTGTAGTGCTTTATTCACTTTCCTTAGCATTTTTACCTAGACAGACAATTCAAGAACCCAGTGTCTCTTGTCCAGATCACTGTAATGAAGAGATTAATCACTGTGCCTGTTGTAAATTACATTATTTTTCCAGAGACATTTAGGGTGATCAAAGTAGAAAGATAAAAGTGTTTCCAGCTCAATTCAATTATAGACAACAGAGACACTGTGTGGAAAACAGTAAAGGTTCTGCCTTTAATCTCTAAAAGAAACAAAACCAATTTAAGTAAAAACAGAACCTTGATTCGATAAGGGAGGACAACCAAATTTTTGCTAGACAAATAAATAATGATAAAATTTGGGTATACATTATCAAGCAGTTTGTTTAGGTGTTGCTATTTTAACAGTATCTGTGTAGTCCCTGCTGCAGAATGGAGTGTTCTGTGCAGATAGCTTATGAAACATTATTTCTCTATCTTCAACAGCTCCCATCATTACAATGTATTTATGTTGTTTAGAATTGTCCTTTGATCACTGTTAAGACCTGTGCATACATTATATGCATTTAAACTGTGCACTGATAGTTTTTGCTTCTTTCACTTAACATTTTATATGTACATTTCTGGGTATAAACACTTCCTATACTTAAAATTTTTTTATAGCTATGGCAGATTTTCCTCTCTTTAGCCATTCAGGTGGTTTAGTTTTTCCTCATACATAGTGTAGCCATAAACATCTTTGTGTAAACTTCTTGAATTTCCTTTTGCTTATTTCCTTGGAGTATGTGCCCAAGGTAGAATTTCCTTGGGCAGGAAGCATGTTCAGTTTAATATCACTAATTATATATTTCCAGAGTCATTTCCTGAAAGATTTAGCTAAACTTACAGAGCTTTCAGTATTGTACCGGTCTTTCAATGTACCTACCATCATCATTTTATTATTTTTGTTGTGTGTGTTTTTTTTAATCCTCACCAGAGGATGTTTAGTGATTTTAGAGAGAGAGGAAGGGAGAGAGAAAAAAATGTCAATGTGAGAGAGAAGCAACAATCGGTTGCCTCCCAAATGCACCCTGATGGGGGATCAAACCCACGAACTAGGTATGTGCCCTGACCAGGGATCGAACCCACAACCTCTTAGTCTATGGGGCAATGCTCCAACCAACTGGACCACTTGGCCAGGCAATATTATTTGTTTGTATATATTTTTTTTTCATTTTTATTTCAACTTCATTTATTGCTAATAAGTCTATAAAATATACATGTTTTGCCCTGCTTGATGTGGCTCAGTGAAAATAGTGCAGGCCTGTAAACCAAAGGGTTGCTGATTCAATTCCCAGTCAGGGAACATGCCTGGGTTGTGGGTCAGATACCCAGTTGGGGGCGCACGAGAGGCAACCACACATTGATGTTTCTCTCCCTGACTCCCTCCCTTCCCCTCTCTCTAAAAAAAATTGAATAAAATACTTAAAACACATACATAAGTAAAAACAAAATATACATGTGTTTATTTACTCTGATTCTTATTTCCACTTAAGTAGATCCTAAAAAAATAAATATAACTTCACTCACCAAGAGACACACATGTGCCAACACAGTTAATCAAAACTTGCTATCCTATAAAAAATACCATTTGAATTTCTGGGTACTAAGAACAAACACATGAAACTGAAATTAAAAACCTAATATCCTTCCTCAAAGTAGAAGAAATGACATTTTAAAATACATAATTTGTGAATTTGCCCATTTTTTTCCCTTAGGCAGTATCTTTTATTTATCTTTATTGTTCAATTACAGTTGTTCACCCTACCCACCCCCCCCCCACCTTCCACCTTCAATTGTCCCCCCACCCATTGTCCATGGGTCCTTTACACATGTTTCTTGACTTGACTCTTCCCCTTCTTTCCCCTGTTACCCCACTCCCTCCACCCCTCTGGTCACTGTCAGTTTGTTCTTTATTTCCAAATTTTCAATTTAAATAGTATCATATAGTAAAAGTGGTATTGGAAATAATTTTGTGAAATATAGGCCACTTGGGAATATTTGAGCAATGTCCAAAAAAAAAAAAAAGATACCTCATAATACCACTTACAATCATTGGAAAAAAAGTTGCTTAGGTATGAGCTTAAGAAAACATGTACAGTATCTGTATGCTGAAAATTACAAAAGCTAGTGAAAAAAATTAAACAAGTCTTAAACAAAAGTAGAGACAATTGTGTTCATGGATTGGAAGACTGAATATAAGGATGTTGACTCTCCCCAGATTGATCTACAGGTTTAGAGTAATTCCTATCAGAATTCCAGACAGGTTTTTAGTGGGTACAGACAAACACCCTAAAATCCATATCAAAAGGCACAGGTCCTGGAGAGGTTAAAATGATGCTAAGGCTAGTTTACTGCAGTAGCCGAGACAGTGAGGTATACATGGAGGGGCAGATGCCTGGATCAGTAGGATAAAGGAGCAAACCCAAAATATGGACCCACACTTTTATTATGCAAGTTTTCTTTATTCTTATGTCAAAATATGCATCTGTCCTTGTCATTTTAAGTCTACCTTACCCTCTTTCAGCTATTATAAATATGCTATTCCATTTTCTTCTAGTTTTTGTTGATTTTATTTATTTATTTTTAGAGAGAGGGGAAGGGAGGACGAAAGGGAGAGATATACCAGTGTGTGGTTGCCTCTTGTGTGCCCCTACAGGGAATCTGGCCCACAATGCAGACATGTGCCCTGACCAGGAATCGAACTGGTGACCCTTTGGTTCACAGGCCGCACCAGCCAGGGCATGATATTTTTGTTTTTACATTTAATTCTAACTCACCCAGAATTTTTTTGTAGGGCCTAGGGCAAGGCAGAAGTCTGAATTCTCTATTATTATACTAATAATATTTATTAAATAATTAGTCCTTTATCTGTTATTTGGTTATTTTGACTTGTCGCACATCAGTGTTTTAAATCTCTTCCCAGTATCTTTACTATTCAGTTGATCAATTTTCTGTTTTACAGCCACTTATATAAGACCTTAGTTGTCACAGCAGTATTTTCATTCTTAACATTTATAGGGAATACACAAATATTTGTATGGGTCTCTGGAATTTTCTAGAACCATAGTTCTTCCTGGAATCACATACTTCCTGTGCATCTCTCCTTAAAGCTTAATGTCTCATTTTTAAAGAAGACTCAAGCTTTTACCGCTTTACTTGACCTACTCCATTTTTGATTACAAGTAGAAAGGAGTAAAGCCACACACTGAAAACATGGAAGCTGGGATGCTCGGTAGGTTTACTGAGTGACTTGTCCACATAAAAGCCTTGCAGTGTGCACAATCTGCAATCATGCCTCAGGAAAACTAGAAATTACTAAGCAAATTACTATACTATATGGTTCGGGTTTTCTGGGAAAAGGCTAAACTGCAAATATTGAATCCATGAATGTTACAGGTCCATTTTAAAATCTGGAGAATCAAATCCAGCACGGTTCTATCTCAGGTGTTCTTCGGTGTCTTGCCTGCTCATCTTCCAAGTACTGACCCTTTGCACAGGACTTCATCCAACTCGCTAAGCTCATGGGAAGTCCAGCCCGCTAGTTATGGAACCCTCCTTTTTAATTCCCAGGGATAGCAGGCTTCGTGGCCGTGGTGTCCTACGGTCTTTACACGCTCAAATCCAGAAGAGACCAGAAAATGTCCATCCATCTGATTCACATGAGAGTCGCTGCCCAAGGATTCGTTGTGGGAGCTGTGACTCTAGGTGAGCTGCTTGATCTGTGTCTTGTGTTCAGCTGACTTTTAGTATCGTTACTCATTTTATTCACTCCTATCAGAAGATGCATGTTGGGTCACGATGACATAATGACGGAGGACTGGTAAGAAAAATGGTGTTCCTCGCTTGGCTGATGCTGCTGCCCTGTGATAGGCTTAACTTCTTAAAGTTTTAAGCACTGAAAAAAAGCACAGGAGGCAGAAGGTATATACACTTCCAGTTATAAAATAAGTCAGGGCATATAACAGCATGGCAACTAGGGTTAATAATCCTGTGTTGCATATTTTGAAAGTTGCTAAGAGGGCACATCTTAAAAGTCCTCATCACAAGGGAAAAAGTCTGTGTGGTGACGATGTGAAGTGGATTATTGTGGTGGTCATCTCATAATATACACAAATATTGAATCATTATGTTGTACACCTAAAATTAACATAATGCATGTCAATTAAAAAGAAAAAATAGTGGAAGCCCTGGCTGGATGCCCAATTGGTTAGAGCATCATCCCGATACACCAAGGTTACAGGCTGGATCCCTGGTCAGGGCACAGACAAAAATCAGCCAATGGATGCGTAAATGAGTGGAACAAGAAGTCGATGTCTCTTTCTTCCTCCTTCCTTCCCTCCCTCCCTCTTCCTCTCTCTCTCAAATCAATTTAAAAATTAAGAAAAGAAAAAAATGTAAGAGGAAGAAGAAAAGGATGAGAGACGACTTGCAAAGGAGGGGAGAAAATAAAGACAGAGAAGTTAGAAAAAGGTTTGGCTGTGAATTCAGGCAGTGGTAGTGGAAATAGAGGAGATGGATTCTAGAAAGATTGAGGACTCAGCAACTAAGTGATTGGGAAAAGTAAGGAAACAGGAATCAAGGATGACAGGTTTCTGGTCCGGGCAACCAGACGTAAGGGCCGCCTTCACTGATACAAGGAGCAAGGACGGAAGAGCACGTTTGGGGGGAGGGTGAGTGCACACGGGACAAAGCAACAGCACTCGACACTTAACGAGTGCTTATGACGTGCAGGTCAGTCTACTGCTTTACATGTTGTCTCATTTAATCTAATCTACTTACTTTGACACCACTTGGTATGCTCCAACACAATTCAGTACTGACACTAACCAGCTGGAGCTCACATCAGACACAACAGGTTTAGGGACATGGTTCCCCAAGACTGCCCTCACTTCAGACACCAGCCTTGGGGGTCCCCAGGCCATCTGCACTTCTGATAAAATGGTTACAAGTTCAGGGGTTCCCAAGATTCCCTCAGATTTGATTATTTCACTAGAACAACTTACGGAACTCAGGAGAGCTTACAATTACAAGTACTTACAATTACAGCTTTACTATGAAGTCTACAAATCAGGACCAGGCAGACAGGGTAAGGTCTGGGATCAAAAGCTCAAAGCTTCTGTGCCCTCTCCCTATGGAATCAAGACGTGTCACCCTCCCAGAGTATCCGTGTGTTTACCAATCAAGAAACTCTGCGGAACTTCATTGTCCAGAGCTTTTAGTGGGGCCTCATTACGTAGGCATGGCCGACTGAATCACTGGCCGCGGGACTGACCTCAGTCTCCAGTCCTACTCCCCTCCCTGGAGACCAAAGAGCCCTCCAGTCCCACGGCTGGTCTTTCTGGCTGACCAGCCACATCTGGAAGCTGTCTAGGAGTCCGCCGTGAGTCACCTCATCAGCATAACCTCATCAGGTATGATCCAAACAGCTCAAGAATAACACACACACCCCTGTTACTTGGGAAATTCCAAGCATTTTAGATCTATACCAGAAACCCTGAACAAAGATCAAGGTCTTTATTAAACTATCCTGTGAGGTAGGTACTGTTGTTATCCCATTTTACAGATAAGGAAACTGAGGCTTAGAGGGGGTAAGTTACTTGTTCACAATCACAGGGGCAATCTATTCCAGAGCCTGAACTCTTTTTTTTTTTTAATTTGAGAGACAGAGACAGAGACACTGATTTGTTGTTCCACTTATTTATACATCCACTGGTTATTTCTTATATGAGCCCTGACTGGGGATTGAACCCATAACCTTGCTATATTGGCACAATGCTCTAACCAACTGAGCTAGCCAGCCAGGGCCAGAGCCTGAACTCTTAATTTTATATTATACTGACAGAGATGCCTATGGCAGATGTTTCCAAATTGGAGTACTCATACCCTAGTCGATATATAAGGAGATCCAGGGGGATGTGAGAAGAAAATATTTTTATCTTAACAAAAAAGCTTCACTAATATATAGACTGGCCATAGGACATTTATACTGTCTATAAATAAATGAGCATCTTGAGGGGCATGCTCAACATACTTAGGCACAATTCAAGTCTGGAGACCACCTTCCTATGGGATGTGGAAATGTCACACACGGAACACTGAATACACGAGTCACATACACCACATGTGGATCTCACTCTCCGAAGAAAGATCTCACTTCGAGATCTACCTTGCTTACCAGTGAAGCCGCAGGTGTGATGCGGTGAGAAAAGTTGAGATCAGAACTCCAGGGAACACCACCACCACTTAAGAGGTAGGCAAGAGGTAAGAATTCTCTGTCTAAAAAGCACGGGGAACAAACAGGGAGAGAATGACAAGTGGTGACGGGGCAGAGACTGGGGCGATGCAGCAACAGGCCGAGGACTGCAGCAAGGTCAGAAGCCAGGGGAGGCCTGGGGCAGATCCTCCCTCAGTCCTTCACAGAGCACCAAGTCTGCTGGTGCTGAGACCGGCAGAGGTGGCGTTGGGGCTGCCTGTCACTGCCAGAACCAATCCGTAGAGACAGGATTGAACCTGTATGGGCGCTTTATTCAGATGATGGTGATCTGAGAAGACGGCAGGATATGTACCCTCCAAAACCGTCTTCACATTTCATCTCAAGCTGACATGAGGAGGAGAAGGGGTAGGTAAAGGACCTGGAAAAAAGGGTTAATGGGCTAAGAGTTGCAGTCCTGTGACAGTTTTCCTAGTACTTTATCTGTTGATCAGCAATTCTTCATCAGCATTCCCTCCCTGGAACGGAATGGCTCAGATACCAGGTCCGTCCTCGAGGACCCCCTGGGGCACCAAGATGGGAATCCTTGTGACCTCCTGGAGTCACGAAGGCCCTGCATTCCAGTTCCTGGAACAACAGCTTTCCGCATGCACTAATCACTTAGGCCTATGAACTGTAGCTAAGGCTAAAATCTTAACTCTTGAGTTCCCCTATCAGTACCTTGACTTCAGACTTCTAGTCTCAAGAACTGTGAGACAATACATGTCTGTTATTTTAAGCCAAGAAGAAAAAGCAGCAGCAGCACAGGGAAGTGAGTCCTATAATTCTCTCTGAATCTGAATCTGAGAATGTTATTCCCATTGATACCACAATGATTCACATTAAAATTTTTTGTCTTGAATTTTATTCATCTGTGATAGTAATCACGTATTTCATTAGAAAATTATGTCGACATCTCCTGCGCTGTTGAGATAAGAGCAACTAACTTACTGACCCTTCCTCCTCTGCGTGCTCTTGGAAGACATTAACAAGCCGTGTCAGAAAGCCAGCAGAAGGAAGCTGGAGGATTTAGTTTAGACAACCGGCTAGAGAGCCGATGTCTGGATAATCAATATGGGTGGGGGGATGAGTTGTAGTTGAAGCCTGTGACTCCTCAACTGGTTTCGGGTACAAACATTTGCTGACATCCCACAATGCACCAAAGCAGCTCCTCTGTCCCTCCTTCAGCCTTTCCTCGCGGTCCTGGGACCGCATCTTGCGGAAGATACGCGCCTGTCTCATCTGCCTGAACTCCGCTACCTCACCCCACAGCCTAGAGATCCCTGGAAGCAGAGATTAAGCCTGTTCGCCTCTGTGTTCTTCAGGATGCTGAGCACAAGTCGACACTGAACAGATGTTTGCTAAATTGAGGCTCCTGTTATTTTTCATCTTAATATCTAGCCAAGTATTTCCACTTTTCTCACTTTTCCACCAGTATTTTAATACTCAGACTTTAGGGTGGCATCACATCATAAATTCAGATTTATACTGATCTTAAACGGCTCTTAGTTGTTGCTGTTTTTTTCTGGAGTCACTTGTATAATCCAAGCCAAAAATTAGTAAGATGGAAGGTGTTGTTTGTTTGTTTGTTTGTTTGTTTGTTTTGAAACTGTGGACTAGTTTTGGGGAAATGCAAGTGGAAGAAACTCAGTGTCTGTTCCCCATGGATGCCCCGCTGACACCCATCTCCCTGTTTCCAGGTGTGCTCTACTCCATGTACAAGGATCACATTAGACCCCGGCTCTTCAATGTGCCCAAAAAATGAAGCTACATACAAAAAAGACAAGAAGCCTGCTAGAAACTATTATGAAGAATGAATTTTCAATATACAGCCAACTATACTGCAGAAGTACTAGGGAGAATTTTCATAGCCTCGTATAGTGAGTCTCAATTATTTAAGTGGTTCCCCCAGCAGTATTCATATCAACTCAAAAAAATATCCTTGTTGATGTCTTTCAGAAGCTAGGGCATGATTTTCTGACTTTCAGATTTTTATTTTGTAGTTAGTGACAGAAGATAATCTATGTTATAACAAACCAATCATAAAGTTAGGAGTTGACTATACATAGTGGGCACAGAAATTTTGTTTATATCCATATCAAAAGTGACAGTCTATTCGTTGCTTCACTCACCCCACATAGGGTAAGGTAACTAAAGGTTCCAGAAACTCATTTTTAGAATGGGCAACTATTATATCAGAAAATGGTCCTCTTGTTATTTAAATTTAGTTCACCACCGAGCACCTCACTCTTACATAGAAACCTGACTATACAACCACAAACATCAATGACTACCATTTATACCTGTGTATTCATTTTTTTTTTTTATTTCTTTAAAGCATGTCTAGGAGTATGAAGGTAAATTGCTTAAAAAACTCCCCTCCCCCACAGATGGTAGCATCGCAGGGGTGACCCGATTTAGCCCGGCTCCACCACCGCTGTCACACGACAGAGCAGAAAACACGACGTGGGGCCTGAGCAGATGTCACACGTTAAGTGCCCCTCTGGCCTCGGGCTCTAAAAAAACTAGACTTTGTTGACCTCCTAACTGTCACGACTCAGATATACTCCCTAAGACTCCAAGCCTGGAAAAGAAAACAAGAAAACAAAGATTCGCTGAAATAAAATCAAGAATGCACAGTAAAACGATCTGTGGTGGTGGTCTCCTTTTCCGTGCTGTTCCCTGTAGTGCAGGGTTATTTTGACAGGAAGGTGAGACCAGTATTTGAGAAAGTGAAAGATGCAGGAATATTTGAAAGTAGGTATGCGATCTAGGTATTAACCCCCTGTTCTGTGTTTTACACACGCCTTCCCCACTGGCACAAGCCATTATTTTAAAGGATGTCATTTGCACCTATCACGAGGCTCTTCTAGTGCCACCAACAAAAACACAAGTTTTGGTCAACACTGTCTTCTTTGGAAAATGGGCAAGGAAAGAATCCAACTACTTTATTCCACTGGAGAAAATATTCCAGCAGCTGGATCTAATACATTTGTGAAGGTCAGGGGACTTGAGGACAGCTGGCACAGAACACCATCCTACAAAGACTCTCTTAAAAAAAAAAAGGAAGAAATGTTATCCTTCACGTCGATTACTTAAGGAACTGATCAGGCTACTGGAAAGATTCCACCCTCTCAAATTCTCAGCGTTAAAGCAGATTACCTGAAGTGTTTAATTAGAAACAGCTTTTCTTACAAAACCCAATAGATTCCAGAATTTCTGTTCTTACTGAGAACTAAAGTAATACATGTATTGCTTGAAATAAGCGATGCAAAACATTTATTGATTAGAGCAGCTATGCATTAGAACCGACAAATTATTAACACGTTCTCACCTTCGGAGGAAAGTATGCAGGCTGCTCATTTACATTAGCTTCCGTAAAGAGGGAGGGCCACTGCAGGAAGACTCCGTGAACAGCTAACACGCAGTACCTGAATCTGAACAACACTTCTGGGGCAAAGCTTTGGTGGCTTAGTATCATAATGTGTAAAATTGAGGAGGCTATTTTCATGAGCTGCTATAACCCTCACTTGCTAGTTAGACTATTTCATGTGCCTGGGTATGCTGTGAGTGCCTCTGATATTAGGAGACACACAGTGAAGTAGCAGCAGGTGCTCAGTAACAATGTTTAATTGCATTTTTTCTGACACTCTAGGTATACAGTGCCAGAGTGTTCATTTACAAACCGACTCCCTAGTGTTAAACCCTAAGGACTGAGTGAGTGTATGCATACATGCTACTCTTAAAATTGAATACATGGATGCCTATATAATCACATAATATAGGAATCCAGATTTTAAATAATAAATTACAGAATGATTAAATGTTTTTAACTTAGCAAAAAAGTTTACCCAAGACTCACTCTCTAGACATCAGGCTCTTCAACTGGTTTTAGCACGATTCAATTCGTTTATTAACAAATTTTCTTATTGCAGGAGTTGTATGACCTGAAGGGTATGCTTATACATTTTTGTAAACTTTAGTATGTTTCTAATAACTTTCAGTTAAAGGATGGAGCCCTGGCTGGTGTTGCTCAGTGGGCTGAATGCCAGCCTGTAAACTGAGCGGTCACCGGGTGGATTCCCAGTCAGGGCACATGCCTGGGTTGCAGGCCAGGTCCTCGGTTGGGGGTGTGTGAGAGGCAACCAGTTGATGTTTCTCTTGCACATCAATGCTTCTCTCTCTCTTTCTCCGTCCTTCCCCCTCTCTCTAAAAAATAAATAAAATCTTAAAAAAAAAAAAGCATGGAGAAGAGCTACAGACATCCAAGTGAGTAATCTCTTGTTTAACCAACCACCTCATCTTTTTATGAGTTGCAAAACAATTTTTTTTGCCTTTGTTTCCTTTCGCCATTCTGTGGGAATGAAACTACTGGGAAATGAAATTGTCCAGAGGAAGGAAAATTCATCTCGAGTTGCTACAGGTGTATAAAGTTTAAACCAAAACACTGAAACTCATTTTAAAAGTCTCTTTTTCAAGTGAAAGCTGCTAATTGATGCTAACTCAGTTTCATTTTTAAAAATCAGAAGGACTCTAACCTTTGTTGCAAAGTGCTGCTCTTTATCAGAAGTTTCCCGGCCCCTGGAGTAGAAATTAAGGAATTCTGAAGTACCATCTCAGGAATATCCCTGCCACCTAGACGGCCACGTCATAGAAAGGAAGAGAGGCAATTGTCTGGATTTTTAAGAGTCTTGTTGAAATATAGCAAGCTTTTTTTAAGATTTTATTTATTTATTTTTGGAGAGGGAAGGGAGAGAGAGAGAAACATCAATGTGCGGTTACTGGAGGCCGTGGCCTGCAACCCAGGCATGTACCCTGGCTGGGAATCGAACCTGTGATGCTTTGGTTCGCAGCCCGCACTCAATCCACTGAGCTACGCCAGCCAGGGCTCGAAATATAGCAAGTTTTAAAATAAGGCAGACAGGTCAGATATTTCATTTTTATGCTGAAAGAAGAAAACGATGCCCCGAGTCACACAAACTCCATGGCTCTGGAGCGGGAAGGAAAGCGTGGAGGAGCGCCCACCCTGAAGTACTCCGTTAGAAACGGACAGCTGCCGTCGGCCCCGGCTGACTGCACTTCCACGCACGAACGCGAACACAGAGCCAACAATCTTCTGACTTACCAGGTAGTCATGCAAAAACTCTCCATTTTTAAATATTAAATTTTTATTGTAAAAAATGTATAGAAAAACAATCCTGGTTAAGAAGGGGGCTCAAAAACTCTATAACCCACATGGAGGCAGGCAGTTGGTGACAGGTGGGCTAATCTTCCAAGTACCAGCCTGGTTCTAATTTCATACTATTACTTGGTATAAATACCTTGAAATAAAACGCTTAGCATTCTCTAGGACGTTAGAAATATAAGCCACTCCTAGAAATATGCTTTGAACCTAGAAATGATGTTGGAGTGCTAATGGGAAAAGCGGGAAGAAAAGAAAACGAATCCCTCCATTATGTTCTGTTGGGGCTTACACAGTTAAATACTAGGCGTTTCTTCTTTTCACGCCTGACCCCGCCGAATGCTAGAATGGGCTGCCTCACCCGACGAAGCCTGGGAACTGATTGTTGCTTCAAGTTTAGTTTCTGGATCTTGTTACCAGGGATTAAGCTCTTTGGAAAATACCATCATATCTCAAAAAAATTCAAGAAAAGCGACAGAGGATAACAATTGTAAAGCACACTGGTAACTAGGATTAAATATGATTGCTAAATGTAAGAAATGTTTTCTGTAGAAATCATGTGCTAGTACCGGTAGTTCCTGAGGGTCTGGGGAAAGCTGACTGAAATGCGACCGGCCGTCGGCGAGCACCACTTGACGGGGGAAGTCAGTGTGACCAGTTCCCGCTGAAGAAGAGCATGAGGCCCTTTTTTTTTTTCACTTGCGCTCCAGACAAAACAAATATCTCATTTGTCTGAGCGAGATGTTGTTTAAAAATACAAAAGACCTATCAATTTTTGTCATCTTAAAATCGACCCAAACTGACACGTTCAGGATTACATGAGTACATACACATATATGTTTTTTAAATCGCAGCAGCTGAGGCACGAGCCCATAGGGGGTGCGGCCCTCGCAGGCGATCGACTGACTCTGGCCGTGGCAGGACTGCCGTGAGTGGGCGGGTCTCTGACCTACACTGAACAGCTGATAGCTTTTAACACCCTTCCCATGAGGAAATCTTTGCCTTTTGTTCAGAACATTGAACAAGACTCACCTCTGAACTAACAGAGATATGTTAACAGGGCCCTGGGCACAAACGGACTAAGAGAAAATGGTTCGCACACAGTCTCTCAGGCTGCCGGTCATCTAGACACAAGTGAGTCGGCATCCATGGTGTTCAGGAGGTAGAGTTCAGGCTGAGCTGCCAGTCCCAGGAACTGCGGACGAGAAGATGGAGAAGGGTTAGACTGATGCGTAAGTACTTAGGTATTTAAACTGGCACTTAAGTATCTATAGATAGCACATCGATAGAGGCCTTCATTCAGTGCTGCTGCACTGATGTTTCTTTCAGAGAAGAGATGGCTCACAGACACACTGTGTACGGCACACAGAGTAGCTAGGAGCTGCAGTAGCTCAGCGTTGAGACAGTGCCAGGTGCCCTTGGCACCATTTGCACTTCATTCTCCTAACACCCTTTGCCTCGGGACGGGTAACCTGATCCGGACATTAAGGGCAAATGCGTGGACTGCTTTGTACTTCAGTGCTGTGTGTGCTAGCATCAGATTTCAGATGATCCGAGTCCTGGGCCCCATCACCCTTTGGCACCTGAGCAAAATCTTTCATTAAAAGAAAAAAGGAAAAGAAAAAGAAAAGAAAGAAAGAAAGGAAAGAAAGAAAAGAAAAAGTCCTGACTGGTGTGATTCAGTGGATGGGGCATTGTCCAGTAAACCCAAAGGTTCAATTCCTGGTCAGGGCACATGCCTGGTTACAGGCCAGGACCCTGGCTGGGGGCATGCAAGAGGCAACCAATGTTTTTCGCCCTCCCTTCCCTTCTCTCTAAAAATAAATAAATAATAAAATCTTAAAAAAAAACCCAAAAACATAAAATGGCACGTGGGAAGAGAGGGAGATGATGACCCCTGGGTCCCGAATGTTTGTCAGTCTGAGTTAGAATCGCCTCAGCTGCTTCTCAGACACACAGCAGACCCTGCTCCTGGAAACCAGAATCCGGATGATTTGTGTTGGGATCTGTGAAGCTGTACTTAGCTCTTTCTCTCTCCTCTGCATACACTCAGTGGGACAATCACTGAGTCTCACTGCAGCCCTGCTGTCATTACCCAGGGCTTTGGGAATGTCATGGCCCTTTGGCACAGCAGTCTGGGAATGAACTTGGAACACAGACTGAGTTCGTAGGAAGAACACATGCCCATTACAGAGTGGTGGGAAAGGCACTGGAGCTGAGTTCAAGCCCCCACTCGGCCCCTTTGTACGACCTCCAGCAGGTCATGTGTCCTTCTGGAGCCTTATCCTACTTGCTTGTACAGTGGAAGTAAATGCTACCCTTGCGAACTCCAAGCACATTAACATGCTCTCTCGTGTTAGTGTTCAATAAACATAATTTCTAGCATGTTACATATTGTCCTCCACCCCTCACAGGCTGGTGATGGCTGCATGAGGATGAGTCCAGATGGGGCCCAAGACAGAACTACTCCCAGACAACGGGCTTGGAAATACGAGTCCCACTGGCCTCAGCACAGAAAGTCAGCTCTTTACACTTCGGCTTATTCATTTTAGGGCTTTCCACCTCAGGTTTTCCTTACCCGGGGCCATTGCCAGATATATGGACAATTCACTGCAGTCTTTTCTCAAGTGAGCCAAGATGGCAGGCTTCCTCATTACGGAGTGAGCAAGGGTTGCACAGTTAGTCTCATGATCCCCAGAGCGTATTAGCGAGGTGACTTTAAATAGACAGAGCTCCTCCACCAGAGAAGTGCGTCATTGCTCTGGGACATTGAGAAATGGTGCCAAGTGGCATGGACAGAGGCTAAGAGAGGTGGTGCAAATGAGTAAACTATTAGTTCTTAGCTATTGCTGAGGTAGGATCACAGAGGGCCTTGCCTATTTTCTATGACTGCCAAAAAAGCTTTTTTTTTTTTTAATTTAGTGCAGGCCGAACAAAATTGGCCTACCAGTTGGCAACTTGAGCTGAAACATATTTTAACACTAATCAGAATATCCAGCCAACGCTTTTGTATGTTCATGTTTCTGGGGCTGCTGAACACCAAAGCTTGGTATCTGAAACTCACATGAAGCGTGTACTATATATTACATAGGATGGTTTTGGTAATGATAACGTGGGCCTTGCAGTTAAGGTGTTCAAGTTCAAATGTCAGTTGCCCATTAGTGATATAATTTGGGAGTTATTTTTGGCCTTTTCGTTGCCTCGTCTGTACCAAAGTTGATCCTCTGTTGTAAGAATTAAACGAGATCATGAGTGCTTAGACCGGGACTGGTACATGGTAATGCATGAGCCGCTTTAAACATTCAGAACGTGTCAAGAGAAACGGACACATTTTGATTCACTGGTCCTATCCAGTGAAGGAGCAGAAAGAGTTCCAGAGGGTGGAGCTAAAGGGAATATCTCAAATTGAGATCTTTTAATTACTTTGCATCCTATTTTAGTTCTGGAACTAAAACCCCATTAAGAAGAGCAAGAGAGCCCTGGCCAGTGTGGTTCTGCATGTTGGGTGTCATCCTGCAAAGAAAAAGGTTGCCTGTTGGATTCCCAGTCAGGGCACATGCCTGGGTTGTGGGCCAGGTCCCAGGTTGGGGAGGCATGAGAGGCAACCAATCAGTGTTTCTCTCACACTGATATTTCTCCCTATCTTTTCCCTCTCTCTAAATAAATAAAATCTTTAAAAAAGGGCGGGGGGGAAGAAGAGAGCTAAATGGGGTAGGACGGAGAGAACAAAATCCCCAGATTACTTCTGTGGTGCCACGTAGGTACTCGGCTCCTGTGAGACAGGGAAAGCCTGGCACAGAAAAAGGGGGAATGGAGTCCTAGTGACACTCTTGGGACAAATGAAGTGCTTGACTCAGACTTTCCCATCATGCATCTGGTGACAGGGCCAGGTCACGTGCCTGCACTTGTCTTTGCTTTTACTAAGTGGTGACAATACAATTCCCATCTCAATGGTGAAATAAGACTACAGGGAGAAAAGTGTTCAGTTTAGAGCAGAGAAGGCAGAAAAACACATTTTTTCAAGTTCAAACATGGTGATGATGTGACCATCACTAACAGCAACACCATTTGACTAAGTGGGTGAGTGGGAACGAGGGTGTTGGCATGCCATCGGTCCTCCCGGGACTGAGGCCACTCACCCCTCTGTCCCCCCAACAAGGGGACACGCCGGCATGGGCTTGGTGTGCCATTCCAGCTGGCAGCTGGCGTTCTAGTTTCAAAATTGTTGAGACCCTCATTAATAAAGTATTTTTAAAGTTAAAAAAATACCCAGGAAGCCAAACTGGAAAAAGAAAAATGTTTTTAATTACAAACCAAGTTTACATATTGTTAAATGGTCACTAAAACCTCAGCTGTAACCACTCCTAAAACCACTAGCGCGACCTCACAAGAGCCAGACGACACCTCTGCCCCATCCCCGGGCATTCCTCGCAGGCTGCAGCAGCAGTTACTTCATGTCACATTTCTGGAGAGCAAGGACCAATGGTATGATGTCCAACTGCGTGTCCTTACACGTCCCACACAAAGCCACGGACAAAGCACAGCGCATGCACGGCACCAGGAGACTGAGAGGTCTGAACGGCGTTCATCGCAGCCAGAGTGCCGGCTGCAGTGCACTGACTGAGAGGGCCCAGTGTAATCCAGCACGGGAGGTTTTAACACTGTGCAATACTACACACATAGTATTATAGAATGCCTGCACTGGGAAGGAATTTTCCATCACTCCAAGTCATAAGTACAACTTTTAAGAGAAAACTGGCAGTTTTTACCTGGGCTTCTAAATATTTGTGACTTTGGGAATGCCTGGGCCCACCCAGACTTAGAGCAAAGGTAAATGTTTCTGTACTGTCTTTACAGAGAATGTTTGGGTCAGACTGGCCTTCACCTTGTAGCCAGACCTACTGCAACTTAAGGTGTCACCCTCCGAAATCTTCACCGGGGGAGGGGGCGGACACGAGAAGGAGCGGTCAGGGAAATCTGTCTTTCAGGAGCCTGTGCTACATTACTTGAGTGGCTAAATAAAGGTATGTCAGTGAATCGGTAGTTTACCCTTAGTGACTTACAGAAGACAGTCTGTCCACTCTGCATGTTTGTGTGCAAAATATCCACAATAATGCCTTCCAGTGCTCAAACGAACAGAGAACATCAGTCCACCAGGACTCCAGGAGAAAGCCCACCCCAAATGAGAAGTTACTCAACGCCATTCCCATTACTCTCTGCACCGAGTCAACAGCTATACAAGACTTGATTATTAATCTCCATCAGACAAATGTGATTTGGTCTGAGATAATCACATAGTCTCTGGCTCCACACGTAAAAATCTTGCAGGTGGCTGAAGAGCAGAAGCTTCGGGCTGAAGGGACCCTTCTCCTCTGATGCCAGAACTCCACCAGCTGGTCTGTTTTCCCCTCTGAGGGAATGGCTGAGGCGAGGCAGCCCTGCACAGCCTTGCTGAGAGAACTCTGCAGCCATTAGGTCCACAGCTCCTGAGACTGCCTTGCCAGTCGTTCTGGGCGAACTTCAGGAAACATGGTGGTTCTGTAGGAGGTGGCTTTTACAAATATAACAGGTGGCTCTTCTCCTCCTTTCAGGTCTTTTCTCCTTACCCCGAAGTGTCATGAGAACATCAGCTTATAAATGCTACCATCTTTTCTACCACCCTCCTGGAGGAGGAAGGTGAAGGTTTTGCAACTAGATATGCTTGAGACTAAGTGTCAGGAAAGCGCTGTGTACAGACATACAAGTTACTAAAGTTGGTGCTCCCAAGAAAATCCTGGTAAGCATTCAGTCTCTAAGGAACATCTTCTAAGTGATTTTAGAGGTGATTGGTAAACCCCCACCCACAGGTGGGTTTTGCTATTTGTCCATTTATCACTTTTATGCTTTATTACTCCTCTTAACTCCCACTGAGAAATTTAAAGTAGAAATTTGAAGAATTCTGAACCTTATAGAGGTAGAAGTCTCGTAATTTTATATTTAGTATGGATAGAACCACCCTAGTGGAGATTTAATTTTTTTATAATTAAAATAATTGAAAGGGTATGCATAAGTATTTCTCAGCCTTTTATAATCCATTGTCTTTAATAAACAAATCTGCCTACCCACTCTGCACTTTCATAATGAAATGCATTGCATTTTCCACATTTTTTTAATGCATAGCCTAGTTAAGACTCAGAGGTTTCACTCTCAAAGGGATAAAATAAGTTGGCTCCTCAGCAGCTCCCGAAGGGTTTAGTGTTAGAACGACAGCAGCAAATTGTCTGCTTTTCAAAGATCCCATCCAATCCAGTTCCCAGGTGAGGCGGTCAGTTAGAGAAAAAATTCCATCTTTCAAACACATGTGGAATAGCGTCTTCCACAACCAACAGCTGAGTCCTACCCGCAGTCTGTGCAACAGCACATACTCTTGGCTATGTTCACACAGTAAACCATAGAAACACACTGGCTCTGATGGCTACGCGGATCAGACGGGCCAATCCAGTGTTTACTTAGTATAGTCACCGGTGGCTTCTTCGGTCAGGACTTTAGAGATGCTTACCGTGCGCCCACAATCCAGGAAGGACATGCCCAATGCAATCAAACATTGCCAGATCTGGAAAATGAAACACAGCCGTCACCCAGGAGCCCACCGTGACCGCTCGCACTGCACCGCTCAGACGCAAAGCTGCTCCCCCACCAGGACACCCAGCTCTGCCTAGCTTCTGTCACCAAGTCACCCTCCCAGCCCGTCAGCCGCTTCAGAACACCCTGGCACCTGCCTTCTTCAGCAAAGCTTTTCTGTGCTGGTCACAACACCGAGCTCCCTCTGCTCCTACCAATTGTGTTTGCAATTTGTGTCTTTCGTTGGAACTGGAGTTCCCTGAAAACCACTTTTCTTTAGCCCTACCCGCTTCCTCACGATGAGGGGAAGGAGTGACAGGCTAATACAACTGAACATTCCCCTAAGCTGCTCTGTCAGTACATTCTGGAGCTCAACAACAGTGACCGACTCTAGAATCAGCCCTCAGCCTTAAAAATGGTCTTCAGTGATGTCAGGACAACTGGGCACCTCCGTCGCCAATTTGCATGAAGGGAGGATTCCCTTAACTTCCACAGTGAATTTTAAAAATGGCTCCTGTCAAGGACATAATGCGGTGACTTGGGTTTCCTGGGAGATTACAGGGTCAGCACAATCCTAGTGTCCCCAAGGCTTCCTAGGGAGCGGAAGGGGTGTATCAGCGCAGGACAGGGCTTCACGACACCCGCCGAAGCGGTGTTCTCAGCTGCATGGTCGGCCTGCGGCAGATGCACCATGGGACCAGGGGAGTGTCACAGGGGTCAGCGGCAGGTTTCCGGCCCCCGCCCTCCACCGCTCTCGTCAGCAGATGTGGTATAAATTCGGTTGTCCCTGCTCCTCAACCCTTGTGTTTTTCAGAGAAACCTGTCTAGAACGGGAAGGTGGACTTCCCGTTGTTACTACAGCCATCTTTCATTAATATAAGGAATATTACAGAAGATTTGGAAAATAAAAGAATATATCCATCATCCCACCATCTTAAGACAAGGACTATTACCATTTTTATATAATTATTCAGAATTTTTAAACATTTTTGATTATATGGGTATACCTAAGTCTGCATTCCTTTTCTATGTGGTTGTATAACCATCCTTTTTTTTTTTAGATAACTCTAAAATAATTCAATGTGAGACTGCCACTTCTGCTTATCTCCTTACTAGACAGCTGTTCAGTGGCAGAATGAGAAGGGCTGCGGACCTACATGGGCCCACCGCAAAGCTCGGGGACCCACCGCGCAGCCCGTCTGCAGCCCCGCCGCGCACCGCCCCTCCTGCCCACACGGCTCCTCATCCTTTAGTTCCTACGCTCTCTTTTAGGAAAAGACAGAAGTGACAGAAATAGAAAGATGATAGCTCTTAGGAACCAAATTTTATGGTTAAAAATATTGTTTAACCCTACACACATATATATATACACACACACCATATAAATATACACCATATACACACACACACACACACACACTATCTATATATATGGTTTAACTATAGCTGATTTAACAATTTCATGTAAATTACCTTGATACCCTAGGGACAGACTGTCATGTGCTCTTCTGGGTGCTTTCTGCATGTCAGCCCCACCTCTGCCACCCCTGATGCCTATGCCCCCACCCCCTCCCAATTGGACTTACCAAGTAAAACACAAAGCTCAGATAGGCCACACTGATCACAGCTGCCACCACATACAATAGCATGTGCCCTAGATCCTGGACGTAAGTCACGACAAAGTACATGTTGATGCAACAGATGATAAGGACCAAGATCCCGCCTGCAATCCTCCAGCCTCTGTAAAAGAATCAGCACAGTCACTGGCAGAACAGTCTAACCTGTCCACAAACAGCAAAAGATACTGTGTCTTGTGGGGAACACAGCACAGGAGTAAGAAGCATTCTCATCCCTGAATGGGTGTGGCCCAGTGGACTAAGCGCCAGCCTGCAAACTGCTGGTTCAATTCCTAGATAAGGGCACATGCCTGGGTTGCAGGCCAGGTCCCCAGCAGGGGGCGCACAAGAGGCAACCTTGTGCACCCAAAACACATTAATGTTTTTATCCCTCTTTCTCCCTCCTTTCCCCTCCCTAAAAAACAAACAGATAGATAGATAGATAGATAAATAGATAGATAGAAAGAAAGAAAGAAAGAAAGAAAAAGAAGTGTTTCCAGATAGGCATGCTCCCCTTCCTGGGAATATGCCCATGCCTTTGCCTCCCTCTCTTTTTCCCTCTCAGGTGTGCATCTGCCAAAATCTAAGCGACCCCACGAGACTTGCAATCACAGAGCCATGGGCAGCAGCTCCTCCTGGGCTCACCCCCCGAACCTGTCTCCAAGGCCCTCTTTTCTCTGACTCCCCAGGGAGCTAAGGCAGCCCCGCCTGGGCTCTCCTGGTGTTTCTTACATCCTAAGCCCTTCCTTGTTTCATTGTCCCAGCTTTAATAAATGTACTTTCAAAATAAAGAATAAAAAGAACTGAAAAATTGTTCTTAACATGTCCCAGATGTGGTTAAATGAGCCCAAATTAGACACTGATACGGACAAAGGGAAAAAATGCTATCAGATAACTTCTACTTAAGCCCCTAGAAATGCAACCTAAAAACAGAACAAGTAATGAGTCTCTAGAGATGCATGAAGTCATTTCAACTACCCTCATACCCTTTTCAGATGTATATGAAAGGTATAAGTTCAAACCTCTCTTATTCAGATCATTAACGTGGAACTAAGATGTTTTACACTTCCACAGTAGAAGATGAAGAGCTAAAGCCCTAAAAGCTACTTTCTCCCCCAGCAAATAAAAAACAGGCTTGCCTTCCCTCACTCCATTCACAGTCTCCATTTTCTAAGCCAGAGATTGAGGGGGCAGCACAAGCACCTACCTCGCAAACCCCTGTGTGACTCCCTCTTTACTGGCCTGTCTGATAAAGATCCCCTGCCCCCCACAGCTTCGGGGAACTGGGAGGTGTCCACTCACATTCCATTGGCAAAGTCACTCATTACTGGCCGCAAGCTCGTAAAGGTGAGGATGGGTATGAGAGCAAAGGGAAGCTGGAAAAAAAAACAACTAAGATCAGATGGGGCTACTGGGGGGCCTTCTATCACCCCAGAGAGCAGCACTGTTAGTGAAAGGGAAACACAGACCTTGCCTCATCTGCTCCATGAGAAATTATGCTATCATCCCAAATGTTCAAGCATCACACTGAAATCTAGTTTACACTACCATTACAGCTACCATTACCATTACACTACCATGTACAGCTACCATTAAACTAGCATCAATTATGATCATATGTGTCTCTACAAACATTTGTACCTGCCTTGCCTTATCCTGCTTAGGACCTTCGAGTGTCCTACATGTCATCTAATATTTGCTTGGCTTGCCCTGACTGGTGTGGCTCAGTGGACTGAGTGCCAGCCTGGGAACCGAAGGGTTTCTGGTTTGACTCCCAGTCAGGGCACATGCCTGGGTTGTGGGCCAGGTCCCCGGATAGGGGTGTTTGAGAGGCAGCTGACTGATATATCTCTCACCCATTGACGTTTTTCTCCCTCCCTTCCCTTCTCTCTAAAAGTAAATAAATAAAATCTTTAAACAAAATATTTGCTTGGCTTGAACAATAATTTTGTGTTCTAAATAAATTATAGCTTATAATTCCCATACAACAGGCTTTTAAAAACCCCCGAGATGTTTTAGATGCCAGGGACTTCACATGTTGTACATTCACTGCAGACTGAGGCCATACTTCTTCCTCTGGATTTTCCCCGGCAGCTGGCACAAGGCACAGAGCCTAAGGGCGATGCACAGTGCTTCCTGACGAAATGCGATGCGAGTTTTCCCCACTCCCTCCGCACCTGTAAGCTCTGCAGGACATTGAGGAAGTCATTCATCCCCGTGAGATGTTCTACATCTTGAAAAACAGCAACAAGCAGAGTGGGGATAATGGCAATGGAGCGGGTCAGAATCACTCGGGCGAAGCGTGACCATCTTAGGTTCAGGAATCCCTGGAAGAAAACACAGAGGCAGGATGAATGCCTGGAACAAGAAACTAAAAGGGTTTGGAGGGGCTCGGGCAGACCTGAGAAGCGTGGGATCAATAAGGAACAAAAGGGCAGTTTCCTCTTGTCTTTACCAATCAGAACGGCACGTACCTCCATGACGAACTGGCCCGAGTAGGTTCCTGTCATGGTGGAGCTCTGCCCTGCGGCCAGGATGCCCACCGCCCAGATGTAGAGGGCAGCGGGCCCGAAGAAGCAGCCCAGGACAACACCCTGGGGAGGCGCGGGAGAGTGTGCGTCAGTGAGATGCGCAGATGACCCCCAGCACTGCACTGCTCCCTGCTCTGCTGGGCACCTGGCTCCCACGTGCAGCACACTGTCCCAGAAGCTCGCCTCGGGTCCTACCCTCATCTGAAAAGCTTTCAACCTGAACTTGGTTGGATGGTTCCTCGTTCCTCAGCCTAGTTCCTTTTTTACTTCAGGCTCCTGAAGCCTTCATCTTCAACCTATAGCTTAAATATATATATATTTTTAAAATCTACACTACATTTTCCAAATTATGTTACTAACACACTGCTTTAGAAGGTAACAGGAGGCCTGACCAGTGTGGCTTGGTGGGCCGGGCACCGTCCCACAAACGGAAGGCCGCCAGTTGATTCCCAGTCCGGGCACCAGCCTGGGTTGCGGGTTCATCCTAGGTCAGAGTACGGGTGAATGGCAAGCAATTGGGGTTTCTCTCCCTCTCTTTCTCTCCCTCTTCCCCTCTCTCTCAAAATAAATGAATAAAATCTTCAAAAAAAATAGAAGATAACAGAGTGAAAATGTCAGATAATTTTGGGAAGTGCCACATATAACTGACTCTTGGAGGTTCAGAATGTAAGAGAGGCCCCAGTGAAGAGCACTTTACCAGGTATACTTTCTATGATCACCCCAAGTAACATCCTGTAGAACACAGTACTATCAACACGAGTTTGGGAACTGCTGAAACAATTCATTTGTTTAGCTGATCCTCTAGTCCTCCTATGTAGTCCAAAATGCTTGTCTAGCATCTGGACCTCTGAAATAAATGACACCCCAAAGAAGACATACTCAACTCTGAAGTGAACCCACAGAGAAGACCAGACACTACATGAAGGATATCGCCCAGGGCAAGGAACACCAGTGTGAACAGGCTCACCCCTTTGTAGATGTCCACGGCCAGCGTCGAGTTGTCGTCGGGGAAGAGGTGGGTGTGGGGACTGCTGCTGTTCCTGCAGACTTCAATCTGGAAAAGAAAGCGGTTTCAGGGCAACTTTTATTTTCAAGGCAAGGACCAGGAAAGAGGTCTCCTACACGTCACTCACAAGTCATCCCTGAGACTTGGTCTGCAGGTAAAACACTGGACACAGGCTGTGATGGGCAAAGACGGGCAGCAGGTACCACTTGCACCCCCCCTCCACAATCTTTCTGTGCCCTGTGTCATCACAGTTATTTACTGCGTCAGTGTGCACTGCTGGGTCATCTCAAATAAGAGAGCCCTTGGTCAGGCTCTGAGGATGAGAGGACACCAGAATAGGGAGTCGGGAGTCCTTAGTCAAAGCAGCACCAGGAGTCTGAGGCACTATAGGTGGGAAACAAAGTGGTGATGGAAACTAGACAGGCCCTGGCCGGGTAGCTCAGTTGGTCAGAGTGTCATCCTGATACTCCAAGGCTGAGAGTTCGATCCCTGGTCTGGCACATACAAGAATCAACCAATGAATGCATGAATAAGTGGGACAACAAATCAAGTGTTCCTCTCCCTCTGTCAAATCAAATCAGCGTTCCTCTCCCTCTGTTTAACATTTTAAAAAGTTAAAAAAAGAAAAACAAACTAGATCGGCAATCAGGAACTGAGAAAACAGAGAAGTAAAAAACAACACAGTTTGTCCCAGCAACAGTTTCTGTTTTGTCTGCTGACTCCTCCCAACCTGCCCTCACCACCAAAGGCAGGAATGGCAAGCCAGCAGCTGGTAAACAGGAAACAAAGGGCCAAGCAGGCGTGAGGCTGCAGGAGGCAATCTTTCATCTAAGTGATCTCCCTTATCAGCCAAAAGCAGGGAAAACGGTCTGGCTGGGTCGGCCCCAGACTGCCCACCCTGCCCAGGGTGGAGGCCCCAATCTCTTTCCCCTGCGCTCCGGTCACTGTCGTATTTCCCAGCCCATTTCAGCCGTCACAGTATGCTCACGCTCACGGTCACCACTACTGGGGACCCTGGCCTACTCACCACCTGCTGGTTGGTCTTCCAATAAAATGCTTCGGCAAAGACTGAGACGACGAAGACATTGATGATGAAGGAAACAAAGAGAGCAATGCAGGACTCGATGAAAAAGTACTTATTGGCTTCTCGGACCTCCTCCTTTTTGGCTCGGTTTACCTGTCTGGACTGGAGAGATAACAGTAGCAGTCATTTTTTTTTTTACTTTTTGGAACAAGTTTCCTTGTAATATTTCATGAGTTTAGAGACAATGAAAGACTCAGAGGACAAACAATGGACCCGATGAAATGTGGGAGAAACCACTCACATCCTCATTCACTGAGTGAGAACGTCATGACCCCTGGATGGCATTACACATTCCTCAAATGGGCAGGAGTAATGAAGTGACTACTGAGCACTCAGGTATTGTGGCTGGAAGAACCACAAAACCTGCCCTAAGAAATGTATAACCTCAAGTATAAAGGTCTTTGAAATCTCCGAGCAAACAACTGTGTAGGACTGACTGGTAGAAGGATGGTTGGGCTCTTCACTCCTGACCTCCCTGGGGCCACTCAGGGTGTTGAGATTAAAACACAAGAGACTTGGTGCACTTTCAGACCTTTTATGAAGAACTTCAGATCCAGTTTCTCTCCAGGGGGTTAGTTATCTCTGGTCATAAACCAGAGTCCAAGTGTGTGGAGTTTCTAAATGTCCAACCACGGAAAAATACCTTGCTCCTTCGGGGCTGTAATGGTTATAAACTAAGTTATGTGTCCCGTGCAACTAAAGGCACACATCCCATGACCTACCCAGGAGGCCGCTGGGACAAAGGCCTCACTCACCTTGACTAAGGCAGAATGCAGGTACATGTTGTGTGGCATGATGACAGCTCCCACGATGCCCACGGCCTGCTGCACCTGTGGGGTGCCACAGTCGGAACAGGACGGCACGAACATGCCCTTGAGGACGTCGCTCTGGTTGGGCCTCACTGTGATGTACTGCACACCAACACAACGACGGTTAGCCCTGACTGGAGCCCAACACTGAGGGAGCAACAGCGCTAGGAAACACCCAGCACCCTCTCCTGCTTTCCTCACAACCCCGCATTCTTCAACCACCACCGACGATAGTGAGGAATAAGGAACCATCAAAACCCACGCAGCACAAGGAGCCTGCTGCCAAGGTCAGAGAATTCAACACCGGGGCACCTGGATATTTTACATCATCTTTTAGATATGCAAAATAGATATAGAGAGAATGCAATTAATATTCTAAAGATATAAAATGGCTGCTCAGGACCTCATTAATATTAATCTCACAATAACTCCTATGAGACAGACCCAAGACTATAGTCAATTCTTAATTACCCACACTTACGCTCCTGCTCACCTATAATCATCTAAGTATCACTGTTTGCCTCTAGCACAAGCTGACTCATTCATAAACACTTTTCCCTGGTTCAGCATTTCTCTTGAAAGCCTTAGACCAAACTGTATAAACTACCCCATAATCTAATCTATATCTATTATAATCTAATCTGTAGATTAGATACATTGATAAAAGTCTAGCCAGGCCAATAAACAGAATCAGTTAAACTGGGCACAGAAAGGTGCCATTACTGCACACAGTGATGCTGATTCCCGGAGTGTGTGTGGGAGGGCACAAGCAGGAAGCAGCCACTGTACCCTCTACAGTTCCAACAAAGGCACAGTTCAAGCTGCAGCTGGGACACACCAGAATGAGCAAGACCAGACCCCTCTAAGTTAACATTCAAGGATCACCCTGTAACACCCTCTCTAACCCTCTCCAAAGCTCCTCTGTTGCCGAGATGGGCAATTTTGAACTAGGGGGTTGTCTGGAAGGTCCTAGAGAGTTTAGTCATTTTCGACACGGAAGTCCCTGCAGATCTTCCTGGACACTACTAGTCTTTGCTATAGATAATATTCCTTCAAAACTGGCCCAAGGCTTAATTGGCTTTTTCTTTCTTTTCTTCACCCCTCCCCATGCTTTTGCTTTTACTTTTACTAACATTTTTCATTTTATGCTGACTTTACTTCCAGGGCCTAAGTTTTTGTTTCTTCAGTTTCTTCCGAATATCTTATGCTTCTGTGCAACCTCCCCTTCTGGTTTAGGAACAACCTGCTTTCTCAGCAGGCAACTCTCAGTGTGGCAGGGAGGGCTCCTGTGTGGGCGAATTCGCCCACGGGCTCTGCCAGTTCTGGGCCGCATCTTGGGAGCTTTGTTCACCCGGATGTGCTCCGCGACCACAGACTCTACACCTAAACCCTTAAGCTCTTCATTTTTAAGCACGTGCAGCCAGAAGTCAGCACTCTTTCTGGGCCACTGGCCCTGTGTCCAACCCACTTAGCCTGGACACACACACCAACTCCACTGCTGTCACAACGGAACGGCACACATCGCTTCTGTAAAGTGACAGCCTTCAGACACTCGATGGCGTCTCTGATCTGCAAACCCCTGACAGCCAGGGCAGCTTCACGGGTGTTCTTATAGTGAACTCAAAGATCTGAACCTCCTTATCTGCATGATTTTGCACAGTTCTGGGTCAAGTGAATGGCGAACTGTTTTCAGAGGTCACCTCAGGCCACTAACAAGGAGAAGCAGCAACTGGCTTTTTCTGAGCACAGGCAGTACAATCAAAGCACCCTAGCATTATTCTCTTTTATAATAAAGGCAAAAAAATGTTTGTTTTTTTGTTTTACAAAGCTAATGAATAGCCTGGAACACTTGCCTCGTATCCAAATGTGAGGGCCATAACAGTGATGAGAAAGCCAAAAAATGCTTCCAGCTTCCGCAAGCCTAAAGGGGGAAATGCAGCAGTGAGTTCGCAGGAGACAGACTTCCCCGCCAGCCACAGGACGGGGAAGCGGCTTCTTTGTCTAACCCCTCCGTCCCGCTCTACTCACCATATTTGTCCAAAAAGAGAAATACGAAGGTATCTGCAATTGTGATGAGTACTCCACCCCACAGGGGAACCCTGCATCGGAGATAAGAAATGGGCATTAGAGGAAAAAAAGGAAACATTGAGAAGCACTTTCTTCCCCACAGCAACTGGGAGAAGCAAGGACTTGTGGGAGAGGAGACAGTGCAGTAGGCCAGGCCTCGGGCAGTTTCGGCTCACAGCAGCCACTGATTAATAGTCACTCAAACCTGACTGTCTACTACAGCAGACACTTAGGGTGTAAAGCTGAAAGGGATGGGTCTTACCCCTCAAGGGGCTCACTGCCTAGTGGGATAACCTGACATGAAACTAAATAACTGTAATACACAGTAATACACAAATAAAACACACACTGCACAACTGAAGCACATATAACCCGACACAAGAACGTGGGGGTGCAGAGCCCACATCTGCCAGGGGAGAGGAAGGCGGTCCCAGGCTGGTCCCACCGGAAATATAATAAACTTGAATCTTGAAAATGGAAAACGAGTTGGGTTTTTGTCCTTACATTTGCTTTAAAATCTAGCAAAACACTGATTACTTTGCACAGGGAAGCCCCCTCACCTTCCTACAGACAGGAGATTGATGGCAATGGCCGAGCCAATGACTTCCTGCATGTCCGAGCCAATGATAGCCAGCTCCACCATCAGCCACAGGATAATCCGTGGAACCTGCACACCAAGCAGAAGGACATGGTTCTAATGAGTCATTTCTAAGAAGCTCTCCCAAGTTTGGAAATCACATTTTGGAAGGGACCCATATAAAGCCCTCTCTGAGCCTTCGGTCTAGAGATTAAGTGCCAGCACAGGGCCCCACCTGCCCCGTCACTGCACTGCAGGCCATGGCTAGAGAGGGCAGGGCTGCTCTCATGTGGCCGTGCTCATGCATCAAGGTCTGGGCGGCCACTGACCCTGGTTTCTTCTCTTTTCTTTCCATTCAAGAGAGGAAAAGAATTTCCATTCATTAATTTCCACTTAATTCCCTGCCTAAAAACAATCCTGAAAGTCTGAAGGGGGAAATTGCCCTGGCTGGTGGGGCTCAGTAGATGGAGCGCCACCTGGGAACCAAAGGGTCCCCACGCCTGGGTTGCGGGCCAGGTCCCTACTAGGGGGCATGAGAGAAGCAACCAGTGGATGTATCTCTCACCCACTGCTGTTTCTCTCCCTCCCGTCCCCTCTCTCTAGAAGTAAGTAAATAAGTAAAATCTTAATTTTAGAAAAAAGGATGCTGATACAGTCAAAATATTGTTCAGGAGAGAATAGAAAATGACCACAGAAGAAAATATCTGTCCTGACTTCAGCTAAGGAGACAAAACAACTGGGAAAAGGCTGAGGCTGTCCTTTTTTTTCTTAACTGATTTTTAGAGAGAGGAAAGCAGAAGGGATGGGGTGGGGGGACTTGCTGTTCCACTTATTTATGCGCTCATTGGTTGACTCTTGTATGTGCCCTGACCTGAGACTGAACCCGCAACCTAGGTATACTGATGCTCTAACCAACTGAGCTACCTGGCCAGGGGTAGGGTCTGACTTAATGTAACAGGAAAGCAAGTGAAAAAGGACAGATATGCGAAGGGACTCAGGGCAAAGCGGTAGCATTGGTGCTGTGCAACAAAACAGTAAACTACTCTGGCCAAACAGTATAGGTGACAGACAGATTTAGTTCACGCCGGCTCGCCGAGGCCAGAACAAGAACACTGCCAGGTATCTGCCACCCACAAATCTGCCACAAAAACAACAGTTAAGATAATGAAAGAGAAACTAAAAGAAATGATAAGCTACCAAGGTTCTCTTCTGAGAGGCATATAAGAAAATAAAAACAGGACACTTTCTTACAGCCCGGAAAGGAGATTAGACATTTAGGCTAAACCAGAGCGGCTCGGCCGGACCTGACCCAGAGGCGAAACCCGGCCGGAGCCGCCTCCCAGACACGGGCTGCGCCGGCCGGAGGCGGTGGGACCGAGGGCCCCGAGTGTCCGGGAGGCAGCTGTACAGACGGGGTGCCAAAGGGGCCAGGGTAAACTGAAAAGTAATTACTAATAAATCCAAAGGTCCTGCCACAGATGGTTTGCTATAAGGCAGAGACTGTTTTCGAATTGAGGAAGTCCAACAAAGAGAAAACACACAGAATGCAAAGCAACGGGCTGACCGCACACACGTGTGAACGCACTCAGCGGGCAGCCCAGTCCCGGACGGGGCACTACGAAATGCCGCACGGCAGAGCGAATGGTTATGTTCACTCAACAGAACTTGTCTAAGGAAATTTTGCAGAAAAAAGTGAATCTCAAGTTAGATTTTTAAGGCGCGTAGAAACGTGTCTGGGCAGCAAGAAGGGGCTAGAGAACATCCCTTGGGACCCCAGGTCTTCGGGGCCACGGACCCCCACGCCCTCACCAGTGTGCAGCAGCGGGGCCAGTACACACTGCCGGGTACACAGGTTCCTGTGACGTGAGTGACAGACAAACAGGACGGTACGCTGCTCACCTTGGGATACTGACGGTGACACACTTCGGCAAGGTGCATCCCAGTGACCACTCCCAGCCTCGCCGCCAGGCGCTGCAACAGGAGCCCCACGATGGTGGCCAGCAGAAGAACCCAGAGCAGCTAGAGAAGAACAAACCCGGCACAACACTCACTAGACAGCCGAGGGGCTGCCTGGGTGTCTGGCGATGTGAATGGGAAACTCTGCATCCAGGGAAGAGCCCAGGTCAGGGCCGAATGACCTGAGTTCTGTGTCAGGGGCTGCACGCAGCCTGGTATGTCTCCTGTGCCTCTCTGAGCCTTGGTTTCTCCCATCTGCAGCTTCCCCTTTAATCGAGGAAATTATGAGGGTGAAATAAAATAAAAAACAAGCGGGAAAGTGCTTTCCACCGAAGGGTCCCTGCCAGTGAAGTCCCCGCCTGTAGGTCCAGAGGCTGATATCCACAGGCAGAGAAGCGGAAAGGGATGTGAAAGTGGGCCGTGTGTGTTCCAAAGGGACACAGGTGGGACTGGGTGTTTACCTTAAACCCAGCCACTGCTCCGGACTGCAGATCCGATTCGATGTTGCCTGGATCCAGGTAGGCAATGCTCATAAGAAAGCCTGGTCCCGTGAAAGCCCAGAGTTTACGAAAGCTAAAGCATGAGTACTACAGGAGAAGAGAGAGAGAGAGAGTGAGTACTGATTATCACCTCCCACTAATTATCTGTTTTATCACGTAGAAAAGCCAAAACATCAGCCTCACAAGAACAGAGGATTTAGGATGTTGGAACTCGGGTGTGTCCAAGTTTCACTTCCATCTTACTTGCTTCTTATCAGTCAGCTGGCCACCTCCCTACCCAAGTAAGAGCCCTTCCCTGCCCTGCTCTTTTCCATCAGCCGGGCACACAACGCCAGTCCCTCTGGGCCCAAGCACGACCCAAGTGGGACAAATGCCATCGTAAAAAAGGAACATAAAACTCAAACTTCCTTGATTGAAGAATGCTCACTAAGACAGCTTGGCAACTGTTTTCAAGGCCCTCGTTTCCCTTAACAGTGTCTGGTTATTCTGATGACAAACATTCAAATATTCAAGCCATCCAGAAATGGCTTGCCAAAATCAGACCCGAGGCCGCAGTCCTGGGCTGTGCGGCAGACCTTCCACTCACGTTCTCCCTACACAGTAGCTTTCTCCTCCAAGGGCCTGCCACCAACCTCCTCCTCAGGAACGGCAATCTTCTCATCAAAATAGGTGGTGAAGGGCTCATTCGAGCTCCCGGTGGACTGTGGGAGGGAGGAGTCGCTATAGGCAGGGTTGATGGCACCAAGATGGGCCAAGTCCCCATGGTCCTCAGAAGCATCATCTAAATGAACAGATTTGAAAAGAATTTTTTTAAATGAATAAAATATACTAATGGTTCATCTTCAGTAATACTGAAATGAAATCTTTTTAATACCCTAAAGGAACAAGGCCAACCCAACTGTACCTCAACTTATTTCCAATATTTCACTTTTATTGGTATTTTTAATAAATTAATTTATTATTGACTAAGCTATACATTCACATGACTGAAAATCTGAGAAATACAGAAGAGCTTATGGTATAAAAAGCTCCCTCTTACCCCCTCCCCCAGTGGCACAGCTCCCGGTCAGCGTTACCACTGACCTCACAGTGGTTTTCCTGCTTTCATACTTCTATTCCCACTTGGCAATTTTAGAACCATTTCATCTTCTTCTAAAAAAACTAATGTCTAGGGCTCAAAATACAACATCTCCAGATGAGCCTCACTGCTAGCCTAAAATCCTAACTTTTAGAAGAAAGAAACCGGGTCAGTCTAGTGGCCACCCTCCCAGTGTTTGGCAGGACTCACGCAAAGAAACATCCCTGGGCATCACGCTTCCCTTAGGCTCCTCAAAAAACGTGGCAGTTGCAAAACCCTGCTGCATTTCAGGATAAAATCTGAAGCTGCCAGGAAAACCGCCACACAGGAACCCCTCTGCCTCCTGACTAAGGCCTGCAGTAAGGAGCTCCGGGTCACAGGGTGACTGACCTCATGACAGGAGGACTCATCTGAGGCTGATAAGTCAGTGTTTCCCTGAGGCTGGCATTTTTGTGGTTAATATTAAATGCAGGGAAGCGGGAGGGGGAGGGACTGGAAGAAAAGGGCTAATCTGCCAGAAAGATACAAAATCCAGTTTGCTGTAGCCATCAAATGGCTATTTCAAGGCACGAAGCTCTCATTTCAGTGTTTCCAAGAAATCTTCACAACTTCCAATTAAAAAAAAAAAAAAAAAACAAGAACTAACCCTTAAGTGGCCCTAACTGATTTTTAAAAATTATAAAAAAGAAGTGGAAATCCTAAAGGGGAAACTGAGAACAGAAAGGGTTGGTCACAGCGGCCCAGGAGCTTTAACTGAATACACAGCACGAGGTGCACGCCCAGCAGCCTCCGGCTCCACGCACATGAGACGCCGTCAGCAACCACAGCGGTCTAGAGGTTTTTACGACAGGTCCGCGGACACTGCCTTCGCAAGCATCACTGCTTCGGAAACTAAACTTGCAGCTAATCCTGGCCCATCTCAGAACTGGAAACAAGATGAGGCAGGCTTCTGTGGTTACAAAGCCATTTTCATTCACAGCCTAAGGTGCCAGATGGTGACTCCTGTAGGGAGCAGGTCTCCATAAAGATTCTGTTGGCTAGGGAGGAGGAAATGGGGGCAGTTTTGTTGGACTAGACAGCGAAAAGGGAAATACGGTAAATTTCTGTTACCGACTTCAGCCTAATTCCAAATAAAAATTAGACAGTAACTCAAAAACTATAAATTACCATCTGGTGTCTTCTGTTCAGGACCCAGCACCATGGTGTTCTTAGAATAGGATTCTGGAAAGTAGAAAAGGGAGGGAGAGGAATTAACAAGAACAAACTAACAAGTTCAAAAACAGCATTTTGTACTCTGTACAACCTAACCCCTATTATATGAAAAGAATTATTCTTCTACTGGATTAGATAACCTTGAAAATAATTACAGTTTTCATAGTATGAGTAAGAGATATTTAATAAAAAATGTAAGTCTTAATCATGTTTTTGCTAGCAAGACTTCAAAACCAAACTGACAGCAAACTGAAGCAAACCGGATTTCAGGAAAGCAGGCAAATGCCTTTTCCTTTAGAAGCAGGCGTCTATGAATGATTTCGCACCAGGTTCCCACCACGGTGCACTGAGTGGTGGGCACAGCACGGCCCCCTTTCTGGCCATGCCCGATTTCCCAGAACTAGGACTCTGCACCAAACCGGTTCCAACGTGCAAGGCAAATGCCTTTAAAAAAAAAAAAAAGACTTCATTTATTTGTTTTTAGAGAGAGGGGAAGGAAAGGAGAAAGAGAGAGATAGAAACATCAATGTATGGTTGCCTCTCACACCACCCCCTCCTGGGGACCTGGCCCGCAGCCCAGGCAGGTGCCCTGACCGGGAATCAAAGCACGTTTTGGTTCACAGGCCAGGGCTCAGTCCACTGAGCCACACCAGCCAGGGAAAGGCAAATGCTTTTTAATAAGCTCCCACACAGAGGCTGCTAGGCAATCACCCAGTCTCTGCTGTGCCTCCAGTTTAACCCAAATTTAAAACCAGACTGATTTCTCACCATTTTTTAGTTTTTTTATTTTTTATTTCTTTATTGATGTAAGAGAGAAAGAGGAAGGGAAGGGGGAAGGGGGGAGACACACACACACACACACACACACCGATTTATTGTTCCACCCACTCGTGCACTCGCTGGTGGATTCCTGCCTGTGCCCTGACCCGGGATTCAGCCCCTTAGCGCATCCTTGGTATATGGGGAGGACTCTCTATCCAACCGAGCTACCCGACCAGGGCTATGGGTTTTTAAGGGCAGAGATCTATGACTCATTGACCTAACAATTTAAGCTTGAGGAATAGAGCGAAGAAATAAAAAGGAGTCAGAGGGTCAAGCTGCTAAATTATTAACTCCAAGTAGGCTGAGATATAAAAAAAAATTATTCCTGTTTTAACTGACTCCAGGAACTCAACCCTTTGGAGTTTCCGGCCCTATCTGAATACAGTATGCACTGTGCCTTTCATGCCTCCAGGGAGCCACCTGAATGACCTCGAAAAGAAAGCGTCCCACTCTCTAAACCACTGGACAGCTGAAGATTACCATCTTGGACCAAGGTGGGGGCTAAGAATGCATAACTGATTCTTCTCAAGAATGTGCCTTGCACTATAAAACTCTCAAGACTTTTCTTTCTGCTTGGGAGCACTCTTGGTACTGCCTAGTAGTGGGGAGGCTCTGACTGGAAATGAATGACAAAGATTTATGCAAGGGTCTCATGCTTGGATTTCCTGGAAAGGTGGGGTGAGCACCTCACCAGCGCAATGGTAGTAGAGGGCCACAGATCCCCAGCCTCACTCACGTCCCCCGAGGAGAGACTTCAGGCATGGCATTTCAGGTCTCACCCCCAGCCCCTCGACAGCGGGGAGGGGAAACCGAGCACGGTCCTCCCCTCCCGGCGTGCAGGGAGAGCTAGGCATGGTCTGCAAGGTGCCAGCGCTTCTCTTAGTCCTGCAGTGAGCAACCTGTGGGGATGAGGCAGTGCCTGAAATGTCCCGCTTTCTGTTGGGGTAAGTTCAGCTGTGGAGGAGGGGATTTAACAAGCCCATTTGGACACAGATCTATGGTGTATTGTCCAGTCAACCCCACCAACAAGGCTGATTTAAATTTTTTTTAAGATTTTATTTATTTATTTTTTTAGAGAGGGAAGGGAGGGAGAGAGAGAGAAACATCAATGTGCGGTTATTGGGGGTCATGCCCTGCAACCCAGGCATGTACCCTAACTGGGAATCGAACCTGCAACACTTAAATTTTGATCTACTGATCAAGGAATCTAGTTCTCAGTCAATTCCCAATTCAGAAGGGGAAAGATGAGGTAACATTTCTTGTTAACACCCCCCCTTAAATCCCACTAATTACTATATATACTACTAAGAAAGGTATAAAGCCTCCCCTTAGCTATCTTTTGCTGCTTACTTAAGTCGTCTTTTCCCACTCTTGTCCCTTTGTTCTTCCTAACTGAACAGTCCTCCACTTCGTTTTAGGTAATCTAGCTACCCACATATTCTACACTATATCAATATTATAGAATTAGAGAACTCAGACCCAAAGGGGGTTTTAGGTTTCATCTATTTTCTGGGATGTAAAACATACAACCACTTGCTAATCTGGAAAACACTTTTCATCTCTGCACTAACCAATGCCCAGTGTTCTGTTATGATGTACAACCAGCCATGGCCCTCCTACCAGGCTCTGGGCCTCCAGAGGGCCGAACAGCGGCCAACACACCCCATTGACACTGACTCGACCCACCCCCTCTGAGCAGCTACAACAGCTCCCAACCCAACTGCGATGTCCGTATCTGCTGACTCCACTGCAGCAGCCACTTAGCTTCCAATCGCAGCACAGCCCCTTGGCTCCAACCAGGGCCTCTGAACTTTTATTTTACACGTAATTTTAAGAAGCCAGGTACTCAGGGGTATCGGAACTGACAATAACTTAGAAACCACAAATCAGATCTGGGACTAAGGCTCCTAAAGGAAAAGGTCTTGGGCCAACTGGTTTCAGACAAAGAGACCTTCTTTATGTATTATTATTAAAAGAATAGCTTGAGTTATTATTAAGAACAACTCAAGTTTCTTAACTGTGGCCTACTCACCAAGAACTGATTAAATTACTTTGCAGTGATGATATCCTATTTAAGAAGACATGGAAGTGCCTTATACATTTGAGGAAGATTCCTACCCCAAACAGGCTACTGAACAGATGAAAAAAGCAAACAAATGACACAGTAGTGTGTCCTCCCCAAGCCTGTGGTCAGTAAAGTGACAGTTAAATACTGGATTGGCTGAAAAGTCCATTTAGTTTTGTCCATACAGTGGCTCTAGTGGTGCTTCATGGTCTCGAACTTCATTCGAAACAGTTTTGTTAGAATGTATTTTGACAGCCATCATATCAGCATGCAGTTAAAAAATCTTGTCAAAATTGGTGATTTTTTTGTGCAGCCATTTTAAATATTGAGGATGGAAGAAAATACACAACATTTTCGGCATATTACACTCTATTAATTTCAAGAAAGGTAAAAACGCAACTGAAAGGCAAAAACAAAAAGATTTGTGCAGTGTATGGGGAAGGTGCTGTGACTGACGGAACATGTCAAAAGTGGTTTGTGGAGTTTCTTGGTACAACGACATTTTGGCCAAATAACTCTTTGCTGTGGGGCTGTCGTATGCCTTGTAAGATGTTTAGAAACACCGCGGTCTCTGCCCACTAGAAGCCAATAGTGGGAGCTAGCCAACATACTCAAAATACCCAAATCAATAAAGTTATTTGTGAAAATAAAAAATGTGTCTTTTACCGAAAAACAAAAAAACAAACAACAAAACAACAACAACAACAAAAAATAATGGACTTCTTGGCCTACCCAATAATAACTTTAGAGAGAAATATTTCTTTTTAAATTTTTTATTGATCTTTTTAGAGACAGAGGAAGGGGGGGAGAGTGAGACAGACAGACAGACAGACATGGATTTGCAGTCCCACTTATTCATGCATTCATTATATATGCCCTGACTGGGGGTCAAATCCACAACTTTGGTGTCATGGGGACAACGCTGTAGCCAAATGAGCTATCCGGCCAGGGCCAGAAATACTTCATGATAAAAATTTTATTAATTAGCCCTGTCTGGGGTGGCTTCATTGGTTGGGCATCATCGCACAAACCAAAAGGTCGCTGGTTCAATCCCCAGTCAGGGCACGTGCCTGGGTTGCAGGCCTGGTTCCTGTCAGGGGGCGTGTGAGAAGGAACAGATCAATGTTTCTCTCCCGCTCTTTCTCCCTCCCTTCCCCTGTCTCTAGAATAAATTTTTTAAAATTTTTATTTATTATTGTTAGTATTCTAACTGATTATTCCTATACTAATTACATACTGGGCCAATAATATAAAAAGTCTGGTCCTCTCTCTGAAATCTCAGGAATGTATTATTCCAAGAGAAAAAAAATGGATTCTAGATTCCAACTTTCTCATCGAAACTTTTCATCAGCAAACGACCACCCCACTGCCTGCCATGTGCACAGAGCGTGACTGGGGCAGCGAGCAGACAGGGTCGGTTAGGCCTGGTGTGCTCGCCTCACAGTACTGAAGTCTCCATGAAAACATAAGACACGTATGGAAGCAGTAAGTCAGACATTCTTTAGAGAAAGGTTATTTAGAAAGTTGCAGAGGTAGTAGAAGTGAGACTGCTGGGCTGCAGAGGCTCAGGAAACCAGGTGGAGGCAGAAGGAGGGGGGCGGGTGCAGGTGTGCTGCCAAGGGAGAGAGTGCCGCAGTCGATATTAACACAGTTTTGCTCTCTGAGGCTGCACTGCCAGGCCAGTAAGGAAAATGTGAAGCTGAGGTACAAGCAACCAGGATCAGCTCAGCAGGACCTTGACAATCGTGACTGACACCGCTTTGATGTTCCAGGTCACCCCAGCCCTAAAGTATCACCTTCTCTCACAGCCAGTAAGTTTCACTTTATCAACAGCAATCAATGAAGAAAATGGCACTCGTATTTAAATGTAAAATAACTATTTTATTCCATTCCTTATCAAAAGTTGTAAGACTGTTTTACTGTAAAACATGCTAATAAAATCACATTTTCTATCTAAAATGTCAAAAATCTACATATTCTTTGACCCAGCAGTTCCACTTCTAAGAATGCATCCTAAAGAAACAGTCACAGGAGGGAGTATGTGCAAGGATGTTTCCTGCAGCACTGTGTAGTATCAAAAGCCTGGAGCATCAAAAACAACCAGGTATCAGCAGGGGACTGG